TGCGAAGTATTCGCACAGGTCAGCTAGTTATTTATTATACTTCAATGAAAATTGACTACAAACCGATTTGAGTAAAAAAAAAACATCCAGTATTTTAAATAACAAGTATAATGTTTTAGAGGGAGCATTAGGATTTTTTATGTGAAAAATTTCTTAAGGCGCGTTTTGCACTTTATTGTGGAGAGCGAATTAGTTTGATCCGTCAAATTTCGTTAGCATCAATTAAAGTCGATTAATTAAAATATTTTTACATATGAATTAAAATATCTCAAAAACTATAAATCGGGCCTGCATACTCTAAGCGAGGGAATTATTTAGCATTTCATCCTCTCTGCAATAGGCTATATTTCAAAATTGTATCTTAACGCGACGCCGTGTTAGAGAGTCGAAAAGGAAAAAAAAATAGTGCTGAAAACGAAATGATAAAGTTAGTTGAACAAATGGATTAAAATATTCCAAATACCAAAAATCGAACCTGTATACTGTAAACGAGGAAAATATTCAGCATTTCATCTTCTTTGTAATGAGTTATTATTTATAATTTATATTTCATATTATTAATCTCGCCTCATCTAAAGCACACAACTTAGCTTTTTTTAATTTGAAAAATTAAACTTTTAGTAACTTATTTATGTTTGATAAACTAAGAGGAAGTTTAACTAATAGTGAACCTTGCTAAATCAAAATATTTACTTTTATATGATACCAACGACAGATGGAAAATACAAAAAGCAAGAAACAAAATTACTAACATAGTGGAATAACCATTATTATATTATATATTTATTAATCCTATAGTTATTGAAATGCCTAAACGCACATTTAGTTTTTAGAAAAAACGAAAAAAAAAAAAAACGGATATAGTGACAGTCAGCTCTCGACCTTGAAGGTTATATGGACGAAGTTTATCTTATTCAAAGTCATCTAAACTGAAAGTTTATTTCCAATTTGAAAAAAAATATTTACGTAATGAAAAAATTCCCTCACTTTTCCCATTTTCCCCACCCTGAATATTCAATAACATTATCAATTATTTAAAATGAGATTTGTTTTTGCATGAGTTTCCAATTGGATGAGCAGATAATTGAATGAATAGGCAGGATTTAAAAGTGGGAAAAGTATTGTAGTAACGGACAAAGAAAGATTTGCTGATTCCTGAGAAGAGAAATTATTCTATTGTACATTAAAAAATAATTGACATCCCATTAAATCCAGATGATATAAATAGTTTGTAAGAAAAAAAGGGGGGGGGATGTTGTAAATTAAATGTTATATGATTTAGGATCTTAAAAAAAAAAAAACAAAAAAAAAGTGGTTTATCACAGTTGTGAACCCTTAATTTTAAGGACTGCCTATTTTTCCATATCTACAAACTGGTTTTGAAAAATAATTTAGAGATGGTTCGATTACTAATAGACATTATTCTATAGAGAATCTAAATTGATCAAATATATAGCATAAAACAAAGTGACGAGTGAGGTTGCTTTCAGTTTGGAATGTTAATATTTTTAGATTTTTTTTTTTTATTTCTCACCAAGATATTACTGAAGGATTGTTTGTTTCCTTTATTTTATGTGAAATGTTATGTGTAGAACTTTTCATCAACTGAGACGACTTAATGCATTATGAGTATCTAAGAAATCAGTGAAATATAACTATATAATATATTTATATGTGTGTTAATATATAATGTGTCTGACCTTTATATCCCTTCCCACTGGACTAAATTATTCAAAGGTCCCTTTCTTCCCTGCTCCAGTAGCCACTGAAATTTTCTCCGAACTAATATCTGCCATGGTTCTCTCCTACCTCATTCTAATCCCTCCTCTTCCAGCACCTCATCTCACATTCCAAACTAAATAATCATGTATATTTATCAGATTTACACCTGTGAATAAAAAAATATAGTCAATAAATAAGTTTTTGAAATATATACAATTTAAAAAATTAAATATATATATATATATATATATATATATATATATATATATATATATATATATATATATATATATATATATATATATAACTTACTGTTTATTCCCCTTTATTTATTTTTAAAAACTGAATGAAAAAGTTACTATGCAGTTCAGTTGTCTAGGACTGCATTCTCAATTCAAGGATCGGGGTTGAAGTTCGGCTATAATAAATAATTTATCTTATAATTTAGCTGTGCTGTGTTTTACCTAGAATCAATAAAGTGTATCTTAACCTTTCAAAGATGTGGAAAAAACCTAAATTAAATGTTATTGATTAATACAATACCTTCAGGGATTCATCATGTTTAGAAGAAAAATATATCTAGTATATATGTATATATATATATATATATATATATATATATATATATATATATATATATATATATATATATATATATATATATATATATATATTTATATATGAGAGTTTCAGACAATTATCAGCAATCAATGAATATATAACTGTATTGAAGATAATTATGAAGCAAATAAAATTAAGACCTGTTTAAATACAAAGAAATACATAAAACATACATCATCTACCTGATAAAATAATTAGAGAAATAAAGAAGTTTTATACATTTTAAATAAATATATTTTTGTACCTCTCCATATGATGATTTATAGTTGTGTTTTTAATTATTAAAATATTACCATTAAAATATACACAATAAAAAATTTACCATATTTTTATTTTTTATTTATTTTTAATGAGAGGGGAGAAAGGAAATATAAAACAATACTTTTTTGCCTCATACATTTATTGAAAAAAAATACAATTATAATTATTGATAAAATTAATATCACAAAACTTACAAACTATGACTTTGTATAGTACATTGAGATTTTGTCATATTATACAAGTGTTTTAAATATATTTGAGGAAAAAAAATACAATTTCAAATTCAATAACTTATCACATGAATGTCAAGAATGCAATTATTTTTCAAAAAATTTATTTTTACATGGGTATGTCTAATATATACAAATTGGGATTAATTTTTATTATCTAATACTTTGTAATATCCATCTTGATAATGCCCATTTATGAATATTATAAAAATTTGAATTAATTTACTAAAATTTTACCCTGATAGCTAATTTTTTTAAAAGCCTAAGATTATTCCTGAAATATCGATTTAAGATTACAAAAAAAAAAAGGACAGGGACCACCAATATTGTTTTAATATACGATAAAAAAAAATTAACATATTACTAATTGCTGTAAATCTGGTGCTATATTTATAACAATCACGGAAAATATATGCTTCTTACTATATGGAAAATATATGCATGCATTATCCTTTGATTATAAGGTAACAGTAAGGAAAATTGCCATAAAATGATATACTGAACCCAGGAAAGGTAGTTGAAGTATATATTACTGCCTTTTTTTATCAAATATATCAATAACCTTTTTTTTTTTTTATAGATAGCATAAACGTAATGAATCATGTATCTTCATATCAATAATCATTCATAGATAATAGTAACAACGAGAAGTTCTAAAATTCATTGATTGATAATTTAGTATAAATTGGAAACAATTATCTCTCATCCCTATTTAGAATGGTAAAATTAAACATCGAAAATAATCTTAAAATTTCTTACCTTTGACAAGAATTAAAACTTTTAAAAATTTCAATTTATTCCTGTTTCTTCCAATTTATAAGTAACATATGCATGTAGTGACATGGAGAAATACTAGAAGTCATAAGTAATTTTATACGTTCTAAAAAACTGTGACATAAATTATTGAATGCAATAATTATTCTTTATTATCAGCAATTTCAAAAACATACAAAATAAATCTCATCATAAACCACTTTTGACTAAGGTTGACATATAATCAAATCCATTTTTGATATCATATTTTATTTTTGAAATAATTTCTTTATTATTTGTGGTTTTTATTTGAACGGTGTTGATAAAATTACTTTTTAGTGACCCCAAAAAATACGGGAGGATCGTTGTTATTATTTAATATTTTATCCATTTAAAATAAAAATAGAGATAGACTTTGTAGAAAATATTAAGCAGATTAAATTTCATGACAATAATAAAAGTAATAAGCAGGTAAAGAACACCTTACGAGACACAGACTCTGGCTCAAAAATATAAATTAATAACCAGCTGCCAGCCATTTTACAGATAATCGGCATAGACTATATTAGAAAAAAAATGGATGTCAAACTATAATAACTGACCATAATATACCCCACACTAGACCAGACATAATTTTCATTGACAAAAAATTGAAGAAAGCCATCAACATCGAAGTTGGAGTTCCTACTGATGATAACGTAACTAGAACATTGAGTAAAAAAAATATGAAAGTACCAAGAGCTATATGAATTATGACAATTTTAACAGCTGGTGTAAGTAAGAGTACTACTGATTATAGTATCCAGCAATGGTTTGCTTTCTGAGGAAACTATGAAATCTTTGAAGTGATTTGAAATAAACTGAGGACTTCAAGAGGTCCAGGAAGCGATAATGCTGGAAATTCCCAGCATCCACAGAAAATTTTTCAATACATCAAATTAATTATCCAAAGAAGCATACTCTTGAATGAGGTTTGGGTTAGTTAATGTGTTTGATATTAAGCCTAGAAGTTAAAAAAAAAAAGTATTGTGACAATAAAATTGTCAGAATCAATACGTATCTACAATTTATCATGAATAATTTATCATTTAAAATGAAGGAGTAAAATTTGTCATAGTTATTATATTATCATTATCAGCTACTTTCCATGGGTTTTCCAGTGTCTATTAAAAACATAAATTTCAAATTAAGATTTATGAAAAATGTGTCTCTGCTTCAGATATATACTTAAGCACTCATCCAACCATCCAGAAAAGATACACTTCAGTAAAAATTTCAAATTTTTATATCATAAATGGATAAATCATTAGAGATAGCTATAACATTATGTGTGTTAACATAATGTTCACCGATGAAACTAAATTGAGTGCTTCAAGAACAATAACATCTAGTTCATGACAGATATATACAGTCTTACAGAGTTAAGAAAATCATGATGGACAGAAACATTGTGAGCTGCAGTTTAGGACGTACTCCTCTGCCTGAAAATCATTTACAAAAATTAGGAACAATTAGCGATTTGAATTTAAAATTTTCAACTTTTAAAAGTAAAAAAAAACAACTTTAAAGTAAAAAAAATAAAATTCATTTATTTATATTTCATATCGACAGCTATACAGAAAAAGCCTATAAGCGCAAAAGTAAAATTATTCACAAAACAAAATAAATAATTTATTCCTTATTTTATGAACTAGATTTTCTGTTTAATTTTTAAGATGCATGAGGTCAAGATCAATCAGAAAACATCAAACAGATGTTTACAATAAAATTATAATTACAGGCTTTTGCAGTGTGGATGTCGTTACTGTATGATATATTCTGTTAATTTTTTTTTTTAATGTTGTGTATTTATTTTAAATCGTTGTATAAATAATTATTTTTTAAATAAAGCCACTACCATTCAACAATCATCTGGAAATGAAACATTATAGCGGCTGTCCAACCTCTGTATTTTTATTAAGGATTAAAAGTTTTTTATCCGAATTATGACAATGAGACTATTTTTGAGCTTAGATGTCATCTAAGAGAAGATAGCACAAGAAAAATTACATTATGTATAAATAACATGTGCCAACAATTAAGTCTCAGCTGTTGGTTTTCATGAACGACGCTTATCAAAGAATATTGGCAATCACAATGTATGTATTTTTAATAAAATGTGTTGTTATGGTGAAATACCCACACTACTTTTAAACTAAAATTAATAATTCAATATTTTACAATAAAGAGAAGTTAGTTGGGGTGTTCAAATAAAGAACAAAGTAATAATAAATATATTATATTTATTTTTATTTCCTTCATGCCAATGTTTCGGCCTAAGTTTTAGGCCTTTGTCAGGGCTAAGAAAATAAAAAATAACATAAAAAAGAGAAATTAGTAGACGGTGTTAGTATTAATATGTAGTTAAAAGGTATAGTCTAACAAAATAAAAACAAAAAAAATGTTATTAGACTATACCTTTTAACTACATATTATTACTATAACACTCTACTAGTTCACTGGTCCCAGCGTGATGTTGTCATGAAAGAAATATTATAATTTATTTATTTTTACATTGTTCTTTCTTTGACTGATCACCCCAAATAACTTCTGTTCAATATATCTACGAAAGCCAGTTATCAATTCACTATCTCAATATTTTACAAGATTTTGAATTATTGGGTACAGTTAGAATTTAGTTAAAAAAGCAACAATTAGTGAGCCATCCATAAATAATAATAAATAAATAAGTCTCAACAAATCCAAAGGTCCGATGTTATTAATCCAATCTTTACAAACCTTCCTTCTCTGCATTAATACATTAATATTACTATAATAAAAATAAATTATTAATGATAGATAGAACTTACTGAAAATGTGGCGGAGAGTGTGTAGCTTGGATGTTGCAGGCCCTAGGGTCGCTTCCCTTGAAGCCCAGTAGATGGAGCCCATAGAAGAAGCGCACTTCAACCTCATCTCACCACCTTCTGGGTCTTCACTGTTGTACTCTGCCCGGATTGTCAGCCCTAATCGGGAAGTCATCAGTCCTTCTTCGTCTGTCTCAGGAGGATACTCTGTTACCTGAGAGTCGTTCACCTACAGGATGGAACAAATAGGGTTAAGGCTACTGTGGTATACTTGTAATAGTTGAAATATAAAAATGTTTTTCTAATTATCCTAAAACTATTGAGGGACAGCAAAATTGTCTAACATCAAACGCATTCAGTTTTCAATCCAAAGTCCATCGAACTATAGTCGCTTCTTTTTATGTAACCAACAAAACCTTACACCATCACCTTAATATCCCATTTGTCCAAGACATTATCCAAGTAAAATTCTCTAAATTTCACCAGAACCTTACCTATCATCAAAATCCCTATCCAGCACCACCCATCCCTAAAATCCTCCAAGAAGGTTAAAACAGCAGCTGATTTTTATTGTATTTTTTTTTTATTACATATACAAGACCAGAGCTATGCTTATTATATATTTTAAGGCATAACATATGTTTGCTAAAATAAATATATATGCAGAAACTATTGAAAAATGTTCTATAAACATTAAATAAGCAAAATATATGATTTTATATTTCTATTATTATTAAAAAAAAAAAAGGAGAAAATTAATATCATGACTACATCGAAGTTCAAAACAAGGTAACATGTAACTGAAATAAATAAGTATAAAAAAATTTAATTTATCTTACTTTAAACTATTTAAAATAAGAATAAAAAAAACAAAAAGAGTTATAAGAAGGAATATAATATATTCTAATAAGGTTGATAAAATATATAAGAAAAAAAAAGTTAAATATAAAATAATATCAATAATAACATACTTGAAATAGTTGTTAAAGAAGTCTAGACTTTGTAAAATGGATTTTTTCATGTTTAAACAAACGTTTTACGTGCTTGATCGAACCTCGTACCATACCTCAAAATTTCGTACAAATGCAATAAAACTCGTACGAACGGCAACACTGCATACGGGTTGGAAAACATGTGACAGTAGCCTTTGATAATTTTATTTAAATAACTTTAGCCCCGATAATATATTTAAATAATTAAATTTTAGCTGTTTTAAATAAACATTAATGAGTAGAGTAGTAAGTGAAAGTTGGTTGATGAACCAACCTGATTTTTTTTATTAAATTAGTTACCATAGATGAAAAAAAAAATACTGTCATTTGTTGTAGTTAGGGTAAGTTCCTAAATTCATCGATTGAATCAGCAATGGCTGAGCGGTTCCATCGGCTTTTGAAGTCTGATAACTTCAGTGTTGTTATTTCTCTATTAACTTTACGTATTTACATATCTATGTTTATTTTGTTTTTGAAATTCGACTATTAAATAGGTAAATATTTCCTTGAACATTATTAATTTTCCAAGAGTTTTGAAGGTACAGCAGGTCGTTCCTAAACTCAGCATAAATCGCTATCTTTCGATGCTCAATTCAATCGATTGATGAATTCTTCAATGGAATTGACGCTGGGTTTAGGAACTTGTCTTTACGCTCAAATGTACTTTACATCCTATAAGATAGTTTTACTACTTTATTAAACATACGAAGTACAAACATCATATATGATAAATAAACATGTAAAAATAATACCATTGAATCAAATATGTTATCGTTTGATTTTAATTTAATTATCATAACTAATGATGATGTCGAATCATTTATTTAAAAAATATTTCAGAAAACTGACTGAAATAAATTATAACGGTTCGTTAGATAGGTTTAACGTTAACATTTCGCTCTTAATTTTCTTTACCGTCCTCTTTAATTCTCTTACTTGATGAGAGTTTCGGTGGGGTGAAGAATTCTTTCGATTCTTGAGGCCTGAAAAAGTTGTACTTTACAGAGAGATGGCAAGTTAAGTAATAGGATTATTTATTAACGATAATTAATTAAGATTATATATATATATATATACACTTTTTTTAAAAGAATCTTTATTTTACTGATTAGTTATTATAATGTGCATTATAGTGCGTTATTATTATGTGCGTAGTAATCTTCCCACCTTCGCTTCGGTCTATCTCTCGTATGTTTACCATTCGGTACAGCAAATCTTTTAATTCAACTTTTAGGAATTATTTCGTTACTAAGCCCATTTGATTCGCCACGATGTAATCATCTCAATTATTAATCGAACACAGTTCACCCAATTCGGCATTGTGTAACCGGCTGAACTCTCCGGTTAACTCATCCTTCTTCGGTCCGAATATTTTACGCAATACTTTGTTTTCAAAAACCTTAAGACGTTGCTCATCCCTTGATGTAAGCAGCCACATATCTTTTTAAGTTTCAGGACAATATGAGCGAGCTTAGGTTTGTCACAGAAAATAACAAGCATTTCCCGCCTATAGTATAACCTTAATCTTCTCTACAATTTCGTTTTTTCTAGTTATCGTAGACCCTAGATACCTAAACTTCTCTATATGTTCTAACATATTACCTTCAATGTCGATATCACCGGCAATATCGCCATGGACTGTTTTAGGGGATTCATGGCGCAAGTTGAAAAATAGGGATTTATATTATATTATAATATAATTATATATTATATTATATATCTCAAGAAAAGGAGCATATCACTCAATTTTTGAGGACTCGTCACATGTACTGTGAGATAAGAGAGAAATGCTTTGGGCAGCGGACCTGTTCTCCGGAAGAATTATTAAAGGGTTCTAACTGGAAAGCCTTAAGCAATTATGTACAGCAGGCCACACTGCAAAGATCTCAATTAGTCAGTTGGTACAATATCGTGTTTATTTATGATTTGTATTTTTTTTATTGTATTTGATTGTTATTATTATTATTGTTGAAATCAAATTTACAATTTATTAGATTTATGAGGTATTAATGTTTGTTTTTAAAAAATATATTTTAACAAATGAAACAGTGAAAGAAGAAATTCTAGAATGGATGTATAAATATATAATAATACTGTAGATATATTATTACTCATTTATTTTAGTTATAAATGTAATGAATATTTATTATTAATTTCACAAAGACCTCGACAGACTGAATTTTCTATTATCAATGTGTTGTTGCTTTTATATATATATTTTACTTTGTATATTTTTTTTAAAATATAATAAACACGATTTCATTCATATATAATTTATTTTTTTTTTACATTTTTTTTATTGAATATCCTAACCAATATTCTCTTCAATTATTCACTACATTATTTTTATCAATTCGCAATTATAATAATTTAATATTCATTTACGTCGACTTTGAACCGAAATAGTAAATCATATAATTTATAAACACTGCATTTCTATGTCTATTGCCCTACTAACGTGTTTTACGATAGTTGTAATTAATTAATAGATGAAACAAATATAGAAGAATGTGTGAACATGTTTCTTATATCTATGAGTTTATTAAAATGTATGAAAGGCTCGCGTTTTTCTTACATTTTATTAAAATGCTAATTCTAAAAAATCCATACTCTCTCTTTCTCTGATGCTTAGAGAAAAAGGGATCATTATTCAGCGAGCGGCTTTTTCTCCCGTGAACTAAAACTTTAATGAAAATGATGGATACGAGAAAGTCTAGCGGTGGCAGTCGCTAATTTAAATGATATCGATTAATCTTCAAGGTAGAACAGACTACACGATTTACCTTCGGTACTTCCATCACAACTTTCCGACGTATCATATAAGTGTGTTTATATTTAACTTTGTACATATGAATTTAGGATATACTCTGTACCTCTAAAATGAAACCCTTTCAACAACAGTAGGAATTCAATTCGGCAAAAACAAACTCGCTGAATAGAAGTTATGGTTTGATAACTCCGCCTTTACTGAAAGCTATGTCGAGCATGGAACGTATCGGTTCAAATAAAGCTAATAAACGTATCTCCTTTGATGCTCAATCTAACTAATGCCCTGGAAACTTGTTCGATCCCATCAAAAGTTTTTGAGTTACTCAGCCTGATGAACCCTGGCGGTTATTGTTAGGTAAAGACCACTGATTTTTATGTCGAGCCATATCAATCACCAGTTTCCAATATAACTCTAGCGATGGAAGAGCCCTTCTAACGATCGCTCCGACCGATGAAGAAAGGAAACTCCGGGAGGAGTCAAAGAGATAACAGTTTTTTGTGATGATAATATCTTTTCTTGATGGGCAAACTGAGCCAGTTTCGTCTAAAAAGCTCACAAGTAAAATAGTTTTTTAGTACTTTGATTTGGGGGCCGATAGAATTCAGGCGTTAAAGTGAAAAACCTAATCACCATTGATATGAATTTTCAATAACCCCGAATATTTTATATTCCAATTATATTATCAAATTAAATATGTTAAAAAAATAAATTAAGAAATCCTTAATGGGAAGCTAATTTTTTAGAAAATCAGTGATTATTTAAAAAATAATGTATGAGAAGGAGTTGATCTGTGGGTCAAATAAATACTAAACTAGAGAAATAGTATTATTTAATTCTTTGCGGACGTTTCGACCCACTTTGCAGCTCTTCATCAGGGCTACAAAAGATACAAAACATGGTGAAAATAAAATAAATGAATATAACTAGATATAAAATAAGAAGAAGTTGTCTGATAAATAAATAAAAATATGATATCAGAGATATAGTGGGTGACAATGATTGATTGAAGTCACCCACTATATCTCTGATGTCATCTTTTTATTTCTCTATCAGACAACTTCTTCTTTTTTTTTTGTATCAACTTACATTCATTTATTTTATTTTTACCATGTTTTATTTGTTGATTTATAGCCCTGATGAAGACCTGCCAAATGGGCCGAAACGTCGGTAAAAAATTAAATAATACTATTTGTATAATTCAGTATTTATTTGACCGCAGCCTCCGACCAACTCCTTATCATATCATATCACGGCCTACCTCATCAAAAAATAATTTAGGAGAAATACGTATTTTCAGACAAAGAGAAGAAAAAGTAAAAATCACAAAGGGTACACAATATTTTTTAAACAATAAATTACCATACGCTTTGACCTGCATAATATATTATACTTATGTGATTTTTTAAAGGCTAATTATTACCTTAAACGATAGTGTATTTTAATTATTGATTTGATTGTTATAAATAA